GGTCCATTTCTTTAATCAGCTTGAATCTATCTATCAATCTTTGGCTTTAAGGGAGTTTATTGAGATATTAATAACATTGTATCTATGTATGCAGGAGAACAATTGCACTACGCCAAGCACAAGGTGGAAGCGGTGGACAAGGACAACTTCGTATACAATTACACCTTAGTGGAGAGCGACACTTTCCCTGAGACATTGGATAAGATCGCCGTTGAGACCAAGTTGGCGGTCGCTCCTAATGGTGGCTCCGTCGTTAGGGTGACCGTTAATTACGTGACAAAGGGAGATGCAAAGCCGAGCGAAGAAGAACTCAAGATTGGGAAGCAGAAGGGAGATGGACTGTTCAAGGCCATTGAGGCTTACCTCTTGGCCAATCCCTCTTACAACTGAATATTATTAGATAGGAATAATATGATAATCCCTATATATAATATCTATTAATTCCTCCTTCACTAATAAGAGGTTCCATTTAAGGAAGTTTATGAGTTTGTCGTCAATTCATTAGGTTTCTTTTTCTTATGGTCCTTGTGTGCGTCTTTTGTAATGGCTGCAAATTGATATATCCTTTGTGGTCCTTTTTTCTTCCGAAATACAAAATGTTTTTTTTTTTTTTTGGAATTTTGAGGGAGAGCTGCTTTGGTGTGTCTTTGAGAGATCTAATTATAAATTTACGCCTACGTTTCTACCTAACAACTCAAATAAATCTAAATAAGTGTAGTGAGTTCAAATTAAACATTACTTAATGATAATTTCAAGTTCTAGCACCTAAAGTTCTATGTGAAAAAAATAACCTCAAAAGTCATGAGTTTACATACTGATGAGTATATTTCTTTTTTCTTTGGTGTTTTTTTCACAACAAAAAAATATAGGTGAGTTGGGTTTTAAAGACTTACTACGGCCAAAACATGTCAATGATCTTATTTCTTATTACTTATGCTCTTTCTAAATTGAAATATAAGTTATTTTTTAGAACATTTCTTGATTCAGAATATAGGGCATTAGATAAATTTTATATATTTTCATTTATACCTTTGTTTTTTTATTCATTGTCTTTAATTGCTTCATATTTAAAACCCATGTATGTATTTTTAGGAACTCTTAAAAAGGTATAATGGAAAGATATGGATATTTTTTAAAAAATTAAGATTTCAATTATTTTTTTTATAAATTATCAATTAATTAGCAAGTGACATATCTATTGTGGTCCAAATGAAGTAGGTCTTGATGCATGAAAAAAATGCTGCCAAGGGTTAATTTTGAATTCAAACAATAAGTCCAGTTTATCAATATATATTACCTAGAATTTAATTTTAGAGGATAATATATAGAAGAGGTAAGATTTTAATAAATTGGACCATTAAAAAAAATAGGATAAGTGGAGTTGAAAATTTTTAAGGAAAAATTATATATAGGTCCAACAGAGCATGTTTATTTTCAAATAGGTCTCATAAAATTTAGAAACCATAACTAGATCTCTTGAGGCTTGAATGTAATTTAAAAAGATAAAAAGAAAATAATGCCCATATCAAACATATATACATTACATCAGTCAAATAATTTGTAATTGTTTCATCAGTAATACAATTATAATTTTAATTTTTTACAATTATAACTTCATGCATCCAATAATTAAATCGATCAGTTTAACTATTAAATATGTAAAGTTATGGTTATATAAAATTAAAGTTATATTTGTAAATTATTAATGAAGTAATTGTAAATAATTAATGTTAAATTTTGTTAGTAACACATGACAGTTTAACTATTAAATACGTGAAATTATAGTTAAAAAAATTAAAATTATAGTTATAAATTGATGATAACATAGTTAAAAATTAATTATTTGATTGATATAATATATGTTTAATAAGGGTATTATTATTTTTACAATTTAATTTCAAATTATACTTAGGTTTCATGGGACTTAGTTATAGTTTTTGAATTTTGCGAGACTTATTATAAATAAATCTGCTCCACAGGACCCATACATAATTTTTTCAATTTTTAATATGAATAAATTATGAAACAAAAGGATAAGTAAAATTAATTATTTTTACACCCTACTTTTTATTTTTTAAAGTCAAGTTCTTTAAAATCTTCTCTCTCCCTCATCTCCTAACTAAACATGGAGTAAAATTATAATAGAAGATAAATATTAAGTAAATATTGATCTGATAATGTTACAACAAATAATAGTGTTTAGAATAAAATGAAATTGTATAAATAATTAATATATTGTTTTAATTTTTATGATCCAAATAAAAAATGCAACTTTATTTTTTATAAATAATTTTTTTCCATATAAAAATGTAACTTTATTTTTAATAAAAAATTTTAAAAAAAAATCGGATTAGATCCGACGGTAAAAGATTGTAGGTGTGGATTTTTTTTTGAGCACTAGTTAGCTCTCCATGGTCCACATAGAAATGACTCCGTGGAATTGACTAGTTCTTTTTTTTTTTTTTTTTGATAACCTGTACTAGAATTACATTTCAACTAGGAGGAGGGGAAAATAGAGGATGAAGGAATTGACTAATTCTTCTCTTGAGTCTTGAGTCATATCTCGAACCACATTTATCGACCCTTAGAGCGAGGACAATAACGTACTTTAGAAGAGAATAAAAGAAACGGGAGGTGAATATTCAATTTTTATAAAAATATAAAATTTATGACAATCTTTTAGCTTACCTACTGAAACGCCATACACTGGGGAAATATTTCTCATTAAAAATATAATTATTAATACATAACACTTATAATGTGTAAATAATCCTGTATTTACTTGACAATTTTGCGGAGTATCTTATGATCAAACAGGTTATAGTCAACTGTTTCTCTCACTAACTAATTAGGAGATTCATCTCTACATTAGGTGTTTGTATAATTAATGAAGAATTACCTTTCTTTTGGTAAAAAATAATTAATAATCAATTACTGAAATATGTCGTGCATTTACTATAAAGGAGAGGAAATAACTCACATCAATAAGTCATGTGAAAGGGAAAAAAGCAATCCGACTATTGTTTTGCCAATATCTGCCCATCCTTGTTGACCAAAATGGTCAAATAAATAATGCAATCCTTTTATAACATGTCAATTTCTTATTTTATTAATTAAATATGTAATTCGGACTTTTTTTAAAAGTTTTGCTTGATTTAAAATATAAGACATTATATAATTTTTATAATTATAATTTAAATTATACCTCTAATTCATTCATCACTTTTTAAAGCAATGATACATTAAAATTTTAATTATCATTATCAAAGTACTTATATAAGATATTTAATTGAGAGTAAAATTGAAAAGATACAATTTTTTTAAGAAATTAAAATTTTAATTAATATTTTTTAAAAATTATAAATTAATTATTAATACTCTAAATTTTGGTCTACAGAGAATAGTACAAAAGGAGAATGGGTTTGAGTGTACGCGAATTTATTTATATAGTGAAATCCGGTGCACATGTTTAGGAATTTGCATATGATAGTCTAATTCGTCTGCTCTTGACAGTCTATATTTTATGACACTTTCTATCATTTTATATATTCTTTGATTTACGAGAAATATTATAATGCAAAATAAATATAGTTTTTAAAATATGATTCTAATTTTAAAAGATCTTCACCATTGAATTGAAATTATATCTGAAACATCTGGAAGATACGTGCATACCTAGACGCTACTCTAGACGTGTAAAACGGGTATGCAATTCATGAAAATAATATATAAAAGTCTTCTATTTGATCACAACTAAAAGTAGAGTTAGATATAAATTGGAAATAATATATTCTTTAATAAAGGATTGTTTCTAATAAGATCAAACAATACCAAATTTAACTCGATATTATCAGATACTAGACGGCTATATAGAAAACAAATGTAGGTCTCTTCCCTGATCTTTATATATTTCTTTTAGAGTTGTAGAATGCAAAATCTGTTCATTGATTTGAACTATACGTGCGCCTATACCACGATACCGAAACTCCGCCCAGTACAGGGATATTAATTAACAAATAAAATTTACCTACTTAATTTCATATATTTAATATATTTTTAATTATTCAAATTAAAATAAGTAAATTGTAATATTTTTATAATATTAATAACAAGAGTTTCTTGTGGAATAAATAATCTTTTAAAAAAAATTTATGTCTTGATTTAATTAAAAATAAATACCTTAAATATATAAAGTTAATACTAAGTTTTTTCTTAATTTAATTAGGCATATACTATTGTTATTTTTAACTTTGCTAATGATAAGGATTAATGAAAATAACTTGATTAGTATCAGCTTGGATTTCGGTGCTCATCGTAATAATGACGACGAAATTGGAATGGTCTGATTTGACCTGTCTTAATTTAAAATTTTCAATTAAACTTTTGTAAAAAAAAGTATTTTTATATAAAAATATTAATTATTTTTATTTTAGAATCTGTACTTATTAAAATAAAAATTTATTAAAAGTATAAAAATAAATTGAGACTAAATCTGGACCAACCAGATTTGATCTGATCTAAACATTACAAATTTGGTGCTCATTAATGAAAGTTTAAGTTGGGGAGCACCAAATTTTTAATAAATTGTTATTTTAATAAATAAAAAATCTAAGCCTAAAATAAAGATAATTTTTCAATCGCCAATTTATTAAAAAAAATTAATAAAATATGCCAGACTCCAGATGACACCATAGTGGTCAGCACCCACCCAATCAAAGACAACATAATTAAGGAGATGGATCATTAATGTCAGTAATGGTCGCCGTTCAATAAATCTGACCATGTGATGGAAGTCAGACGCCTTCTAGAATTCAGAAAACCAAAATCCGCAATTTCTGACCGCTTTAATTACATGAACTCTACTCTTCTCCGTTCAAGTCTAAAAGCTACAACTCAGAAATACGACTAATCTAGTAAACACCCTCACCCACACACACAACATCTAACCACCTCAGCTTGCTGGTGCCTATAAAGCGCACCATATCTTGTGCCATATATCAACATTATCGTTCACTACTAGCTAAGCAAAATCAAGCTACATCCACACCTTAGTCTTCTTCTAAACCTCAAAGTATAAAGATTTGATATCAGTATCATGGGTGTTTTTACTTTCTCCGAAGAGAACATCTCCGCTGTTGCCCCTGCCACGCTCTACAAGGCTCTCGTCTTTGATGGTGACAACCTCATCCCTAAAGTTGTCGACGCCGTCCAGAGCGTCGACATCCTCGAAGGAACCGGTGGCCCTGGAACCATCAAGAAGATCAATTACCTCGAAGGTCCATTTCTTTAATCAATTTGAATCAGTCTATCAATCTTTGGCTCTAATAGAGTTTACTGACATATTAGTAACGTTGCGTCTATGTATGCAGGAGGACAGTTGCACTACGCAAAGCACAAGGTGGAAGCGGTGGACAAAGACAACTTCGTATACAACTATACCTTAGTGGAGAGCGACACTTTCCCTGAGACATTGGACAAGATCGCCGTTGAGACCAAGTTGGCAGCAGCTCCTAACGGTGGCTCCGTCGTTAAGGTGACGGTTAATTACGTGACAAAGGGAGACGTGAAGCCCAGCGAAGAAGAGCTCAAGATTGGGAAGCAGAAGGGAGATGGACTCTTCAAGGCCGTTGAGGCTTACCTCTTGGCCAATCCCTCTTACAACTGAATTCTCAGACATTAATATCAAGATAATAAAATTGAGGTGCCTATAATTCGACACCTTAATTAACAAGTGCTCTTAAGCATAGAACCAAAAATCAAGTCAATCTGGTTCATGAAACTGGTATAATTATTGAACCAGCAGTATCTTCACTGGTTCTACAAAATGTTTGTTCATGTCAATTTTACTATGGTTTGACTATGATCAGTTCAATGATCAACCTGAATTTTAGTAACACGCTGCAAATAATAAGTCTGTGGGATCCCCAAACAGTTGATAAAATGTTGATGAGCTTATTAAGGTTTTAATTTCTATCAAATCTTTGAGGGGGTAATTTGTGTATGTTTCCTTCAATTTCTTAAGGAATAAGATTATGTTTTGGAATTTTCTGATGCTGTCGTTATAACGAGAGCTGATATTTCGTAAAGTGCGGCTTTTATTTTTTGGTTGATTTTTCTTGTGTACAAGTTCACGTGTCAACATATGATCCAATACATTCTTCGCCTATTCTTTTTCTCCTTAACAACTCACAACAGACAGTGAAACCTTAAATTACTACTCATAACAGACAGTGACATATAATTAGACAATTAATGAACAAAGATTATCACGTTAATTAAAATGTATGCGCTTGCCACTACTGATAAAAATATACAATATCCACACCACTAATTATAAGAGTTAGAAGGATTTCCCTTCTTTTTTATTTTTTAATGTATACAGAAGATTCATAAACTTCCATATGAAAATTAAAATAGATTAAGTATGAAAACTTCCAAATGGAGGGCTAATTTTATATATATATATATATATATATATCATAAAATCTTTCAGGCCTACCACTCACGTTGGTGGATGGAAAAGAAAAGTATTTTTATTTTTATTTTTATTTATTGCTTAATTCTAACTATTTTCTTTTATCATTATTTTGTATTCAAAACACAAAGGATACTTTGCCAATTATAAAACCATTGGAGTGAACTCTGCTTTTGGAAAGTAAGTGGAATTTCATTTTCATGTTTGGCTTTGCCCAACCTCTGTTTCATTCTCTGAGGGCTCCTCTGTTCTTGAACTGGATTGGGACCGGGATGTATATCCAAAAACGTAAATGCAATAGGCAGCATATTTTTAGCAACCGAGGATACAGCTTGAATAGAATTTCTGCCTGTTTATCTTTTTTTCTCAGTTCATTCTTGTATTGTTGAACCTGTGGCTTTTATCCGCCAAGTTTTGATTCACTGGATTTCCTACATGGTGGCTAATAATTAGTATCAAGAGATGTCTTGGACTTAATGAACAAGCCTCTGATAGTAGAACAATTTCTGGTAAGGTTTACTGTTTTTGTGTTGATGGTGTTGATAAGCATAAGACTCACTCTGCTGGCATTGGTTTTATTGTGGTTAATCACATTGGTATTAGTCTGGTTTGTGCAGACAATTTCTCTGATCCTGTCAACCCCTTTTTTGGGTAAGGTTGTGGCATTTATTGAGGGCATTCCGTGGTGTTTGAACAACAATATTTCTAATGTCATCTCTGAGTTTTTTTGCTTTCCATTAGTGCATACACTGATGATGGAGTCTTTCATTAATCTTGGAAGATCGATGAGCTCTTGCAGCTTCCTATGCGTCCCAAGACTTGCTAGTGTTGCTGCTGGCTGGATTGCTTGTGCAGTTTTTATAGAGAAGTGCTTTAACGAGTGGGTGTTACAACCCCCTTTCCAAGCAGTGTTCTTCCTAGCTTCGGATTGTGTTGATGCAAGGATTTTAGGGACTTAGGACTTACTTCCTCTGTTTAAAAATGTAAAATAATTTTAATTAAATCTCACCCCTCAATAAAATAGTTATCTACTTTTAAACTAACCTTATTTTTCATATTTATCACTATTAAACATATTATAATAAATATAAAAGCATTCATCAATAGGAGCACATTTAAAAAAAAAAAGACAATGATTACATCTTAAAAAATTAAAATTTTTTTATATTTTTAAATATACAATTCTTCAAAAAAGGCATTATATTTTTGAACGAAGGGAGATTTTATTTTCAGTCTTTAAATTTTTTTTAAAAGAAAAAAATTAGAAATCTGTTTGAATAAGTGTTCTCAATTAAATCATTTCTAAAATTATTTTTTAAAAAAAAAGTAGAAACAATATCAAGTTGTTTTCATTTTTTTTTGGCTATCAAAATACAATACATTTGATTATTAAAAATTACAATCACATTGCATAATTTTTATCATAAATCATCATCATTAATCACTTATAATACATTATCAACTTATTTTTTTCATCCTAAAATTGTTTTTAAATTAAGATAGCGAAACAAATCTTTATGGTATTTTGTTTTGAAATATAATTTTAAAAACTATATTATAAAACAGCTTTTAAAAATAAAAATAAAAATAGAAACCCAACAGGCGCTTAGGGCCTGTTTGTTCAGTTTTTGAAAATAAAATATTTAAAAACTTGTTTGAATAATTATTTTTTATTTAATTTTTTAAAAAATTATTTTAGTTTTTCAAAAATAAAAAAATAGAAACAACTTTAAATTATTTTTTATTTTTAAAATATAATACATTTTATTATTAAAAATTATGGTTACTTTAATTAATTTTTATTATTAATCATCAATATTAACTGCTTATAAACATCACTATCAATGTATTTTTTTAATTTAAATTTTTTTTAATTGACATAACCAAACAGTTTTTAATTTTATTTTGTTTTAAAAAATAAATTTTAAAATTATATTACAAAACAGTTTTTAAAAATAAAAAATAAAAACCAAACAAGCCCTTAATCTTTGTTTTCCTGTTTATGTGTGCTTTTTCCTTTTGTTTGGTTGGTTTCAGCTGTCGAACTCTATTACTTTGCTAGCAATATATTTCTCGTTTTCCTGGGGTAAAAAATGAACTCTGTGCTTTTACCCAAAAACAAAAACAAAAACAAAAGAAATTAGTTGCATCAATCTTAGTTTGGTCGTCAATTTAATTACAATGAATTCAGCGCCTTGTCTTTATCTATATGCAGCGAAAATCATAGAATAACTTCAAATCAGGTTATTATTAAAAGTTTTGTGGCCAGCGGAAAAATTGTATTTTATGTCAACGTATATATATTTTTTGATACTCAAAGGAAACAAATGTCTACGTGTCTATATATATATATATATATATCTATAATCATGGATGTTTTGTCGATTTCAAGTTTCAACTATCCTTATAGAATAACTAGAAAAGTGAAATTCTCAATTTCAAACGATCTTAGAAAAATCAATAATGTGCAATAAATTGTATGCGTTGAATTTATGAACGTGAGTATCAATTTTCTCTGGACAAAAAAAAGGGAATAGAAATTTTAAATATTCAAAGTTTATAAAAATAATTATTTAAGATAATCCCGACTGTCCGGCCATCACAATTTTGTGATGTTGAAAAAAAAACCTAATAAAATTAAAGTAAAACTTTATGATACAAATTAAGAAATTGGAAAAAAATTGAAGAATAAAAATAAGAAAGTTATATATAAACTTTATGTGAATTCTTTATATATATATATATATATAATTACCCGGTATCCTAAAAAACGTTAGAGTAGTGGTTTCCACCTTTCCTTCAAACTATTCTAAGCCTCCACTGTGGGAATTATTACTGAATTCTAAAAAAAGTGGTAATATATTATATTCCTTCCATTAAAAAATGTAGATTATTTTTAATCAAATTTCACCTCTTAATAAAATAGTTACCTACTTTAAAATTAACTTTATGTTTTTATATTTATCCTTATTAAACATCCTATAATAAATATAAAGTTATTATCAATAGAAATATTTTTGGTAAAAAAAATGATTACACCTCAAAAGATTAAAAATGTTTATATTTTTTAACATTTAACTCTTTAAAAAATATTTTATATTTTTAAACAAAAGAAGTATATAAATATCCAAACAGCAACTTACATAGAGATATATAATGTGATAGAGAATGAGAAATGAGTCTCTTTATTTTTTTCCCTCCACTTCCCTTCACTTCCTCCATCCTCACCATTTAAATTATTTTATTAAATAATTTTTTTAAAATAATAAAATTAATAAATGGTGAGGGTGGAGGTAAGTAAGGAAATAAAATGAAGAAACTATCTTTTTCATAGAGAACAAGTTGAGGATTTTTTTTTTTTTGCCAACAAGTTGAAGAATTGAAGACATGTGGATATGAAAACAAAAGGCTTAGGTGGGTAGGTGTCAATCTTGACGTTGAGGTCCACTTGCCCTTTAATTTCTTCTCTGTACATTTCCCACATCATCGTCTTCATCGATTTTGAACAAGTCCACACGTCCTAGCTCTATGTTATATTAATTATATATTCCCCAATTTCTTTATTATTTTATACTTACGATAATTTATCAAATCGACAGAGTTTGCCTCAGCATTCCGTTTGATTTGATTAACTTACAATTAAGTGACAACAATTCATCAGACGAAGTATATATAAATATAAATAAATTAGTTGGTTATGTGCGTTAGTTTACCTCTTTTTTATGTAGTTATATTTATATATGTATATATATATATATGACCTAGTCATATCCGAGCATTGTTGGTTCTAATTAATAGTAGCTCTTTGAAACATCATGTTTGAGCGATAATGATCCTTGCTATTAAAAGTCACGCTGGCTGGTTGTGTATTAGTTTATATCAATTGCCTTGTTTGGGGGGGAAGGTAAAGTAAAGTAAAGTGAATGAAATGATGTTACTTATGGACTAATTAAACCACAATTTCAAATTTAAGGCTGAGGATCAGTTACTTTTTCTATTTTTTATATATAAGATATTTTTATTCAAATTATACAAATTAATAAAAGTTAATTATTTAATTAGAATCATAATAACATTTTAATTTTTCTCTAATTATTATAAATAAAAAATAAAGCTATTCTTTCAATGTAAATTAATGAGAATATTTATTTTTTTAATTTAATAAAAATGTAATAATCTATTTATTAAAAATATACTAACAATTTCTTATATTTAAAAATAAAAAAATTTTAAAAAAACTTCTTATATATAAGAACAAACAAAGGAAGTATTATTTAGTATATAAAATTGACTTGATTATGTTTTTTCACTACGAAAACTTGACTGCCCAATAATCTAAAAAATTCACTCATTCATCATGGGATTAGATGACATAACGATAATATAATTTATATAGACATATACTCCCTCCAATTTTATGTATAAGTAACTTTCAAATATTTTATTCAAATTAAGGAGAGATAATTAAATGATTAATGTTATAAAAAATATTCCAATTTATTTTTATTAAATATATCTTCTTTAAAAGCATGCTTACGCATGTAATCCCTCTCCCATTTATAAAAAAGTTACAAAAGGATAAAATTATACTCTATTTCTTTTAATATTTAAAGTCAATATTGCTTAATTGACAGGAAACGAACTAGAACGTGTGTTATTGGCTGGGGCGCGCGCGCGTGTTCTGGTTAATTATTATTAAATTTGCGAGAGTTCAATGTCCAGCGCTAAAGTTATTTAACTTCACTTGTCACGTTCACTTTATATGTATTAATAAAGTTGGGAAAAGGACAAAGAATAAAATAAAAAACTTAATTAGACTATTAATAACGATGTTGAATTTATAAGGGTCGCTATATATAAATTATTTCATCTACAGTTAGCATAAAAAGAAGATGAGTTGGCACTAATATAATCCTTTCCTTTTAAATTATAAGATACTTTTAAACAAAATTTCACGTATCAATAAATCTCAATAAATATACTTAACAATTTTATTTTTTCAAAACAAAAATATAAACTTTTCAAAATATTCATTATTTAATATATTAAAAAAAATGATAAAAATTAATTATAAAGAGAAAAGATAATATTAAAATTGATGCATTTAATAAAACTTTAATCTATTCAAAGTGTCTTATTGTAGAACAGAAAAACTTCTTTAAAGATGCTTTATAATTTAGGATGGTAGAAATAATATAAAAAAAATGATAACTAAATATCTTTAACATAAATAATAATAATAATAATATAAATTAATCTCATAAATTGTAATAATACATTACAAGTTACAAAAAATTTAAGTATCATTAAAATTTTTAATGAAATGATAAAAATATTCTTAATTTATAATTTTCACTATACCTCCCACTTCCTTGACTTCATCTCTGTCTTCTTCGCTTCTCCATTTCCGGCGTCGAAGTCCCAATCGAGTTTCACGCCCGGTGACAGAGCATTTGTGGGGTAATCGAAGCTCTGCCATAGATACTCTGAGGGGTCGTTCTGGCCGATGCATACTGATTCTACTTCTTGAGGATTCTTTCTATAGGATGTAAAATAGATGGAGCTGATCCAGGAATCGGGGGTAGCCCTGGATCGACATATGAATCATCAAGGAGATCCAATGGATTGCGTCTTGTTACAATTGGTGGGAACATTGGAGGGAACTTGAGTACTTTCCAAGTCTATTAGATTCTTCTCAGTCAGCTACCTCCAAGCTCTTCTCCTTGCTATGATATTCTCCAAACGTTGGTTTCTTTCTAGCTCTGAAGAACCCAAATCCATGAGATTCTTTTCGTCGTCCTCCATCTACCTAATTGCTGATTTACTCTCATCCTCTATGCTACTTTCTTCTGCTTCTTCTTCCTCGTAATCCAGTATTTCCGTGCTTTCATCTGATTTTCATCGCTTTTCAGCGACTTCTCATATTCAATGCCAGAACCACTCGGGACGAATGAGCAGTTTGCGGGCCTTCCACGTCTATCACATGGCAGAGCTTCGATTACCCCGCAGAAACTCTGTTACCGGGCATGAAACTCTGTTGGGACTTCGACATTGGGATGGAGAAGAGAAGAAGATAGAGATGAAGTCATGGGTGAGGGAGGGAGAGTCGAAAATATAAATTAGGGGTCTTTTGATCGTTTCATTAAAAATTTTAATCTTAAAACTGCATTATCATATTTCATGGACTAACTTATTATTTATCTATTTTAAAAAAAAATTATTGGTCACTCTCTCTATAATATAAAACACCTTCGTAGTAGGGTAATAAATTTAAAGAACAATGAATTATGGCCAAATGCCTGAATCCATCAGGGTCATTCATGAATTAATAAATTTTAGGTATTTATTTATTTTTGTTGATAGCATAATAAGAAGTATATTCTGTCAATAGTATAAATTATCTCTCATAAAATACAGAGAGCAAAAGTCACTTTCAACTAATTTTTTATATACAAAAGTTGAGATTATTATACCAATCATTTATTTAAGTGATAAAAACCTTTATCACTCACATAAACTTTAATTGATAAATTTTAATCATTTATAATTTAAAGCCATATATATGCCACAAGGATCTTAAGTACATTAATAATATAAATCCTCTTTTATAAATACACTAGCTCCGTCTCCATTTAATTATAAAATATTTTTTAACAAATTAACATTTTTTATTATTTTAATTTTTATATACATCCTAATTATTTAAAATGTTAGTCAGTCTGCCTCATTTTCATTTCTCATCTCCTTCTCTTCTTTGCCTTTGAACTTAAAAACTTTTGTATTACTCAAATAAAAAAACTAAATAGATGACTTTTAAATATGAAATTTTAGATTTAAAATGAAAATATAAATATATCCATCTAAACCCTATTTTAATATTTTTTTTCTTAATATACAACTCATGTTATAAAAAATAGTACAAATGTGCTAAAGTATACTCCTTCGGTCATTTATTAAACATATTTTAAAAAATTTATTTACTTTTATTTTTAAATTATGATATAATTTTTTAAGTAATATTTAAAAAAAATTTAAATTATTTTTTATAAAAAAAATAACATGATATTATTTTTGAATTCATTATATAAAAATATATTTAAATTTTTATATATTTTTTATTTTTTATATTTTTTTATATTAATATTAATAAAATTAGTGAAAATAATTTATAAAGAGAATAGAAGGAATATATTTTTTACTTTTAATATAAGGAAGAAGAAAAAATCTAATTGAATTATTGATAGCAGAGAAACGTCCTCTCGAAGCTGCCATGCTTTTTCAAACCCGCCTTCTTTGACTAATTCTTTAGTTTTAAAATTAGGTCATCCTTTAATGCCATCAAATTAAATATTTAAAAATGAAGGAGATGACCCCGCAAATAATCTTTTAAAAAGAGAGAATCAATCTCCTAAAAAAAAATATGTTTATAAATAAAGATTAAATGAGTTTCATATAAAAAAAATAAATTATATTTTTATTTTAATAATAATTTATTTTGTATTAATTTTTATGTGTGAATAATTTTTTAAAAGGTTATTACATGTGATTCTTCTTTTTTTTATAACCATCTAAAATTTCAATACAAGTAATTAGTAATCTCAATTTAAGTATTATTGAGCATAAATAAATATAGTTTTCTAAATTAATTATTATTTTTAATATCTAGCATTCTAACTCTTAATTTAATCTTTTTATTGCTCATAGATGTCTTCATATTAGAGACAATATTATGTGAGGTACAGTTGAGCATTAAATGTGGGCATATTTCTCAGTAAGAATTTAAATTTTGATTTGCTATATTATGAGAGACTAATTTATTTTGTTAGACCTAACTCTCATTAATCTTAATTTATTTATTTTTTTTATGCATAGGCATTCTCTTATTAAAAGTATTAATTATATTCTCGGCACAATCAGACAACAATAAATGCAATACCTATCTCAACAGTTATTTGAAGGGAAATTATTAATTGAGGATCATCAAAAAAAATTTATATTAGTTAATAATTATTTATTATCAAAATTTAAATAAATATTTATTAATTTAAGTTAGTCTTTTATTAATAAGTATTTATTCAAGTTTTAATAATAACTCATTTTAAATTAACAATAGTTTATTTGAATTTTTTTTCATTTAAAATTTTAACAATAATTAGTCTTTAATTTATATAAATTCTTTTTAACGATATTTGATTTCTATTTTCGCCTATTTGAATATTAAATTGTGTGAAATTAGGAAGGGCAAAAGAAATCCAATTAATCAGCAACACTTTACTTCAGCTAATGAAGCACACTCATAAGGAGCAAGTGTGGCTATAAATAGCAGCTTCTCCTCAGATCAAGAACCACACCTATCCATCCACCTCTTCTTCTATATTGCTTCTTAATTCCCGTTTTACATCGTCTTCGTCTTCAAGTTCATCAGAATCATGGGAGTTTTCACATACGAGCACGAGCACACCTCCACGCTGCCTCCGGCTAAGCTTTACAAAGCTTTCACTAAGGACTCCGACGAGCTGATCCCTAAGGCCGTTGAGCCCGTCCAGAGCATCGAAAACGTCGAGGGCACCGGCGGCCCTGGCACCGTCAAGAAGCTCACCATAGTTGAAGGTATATATATTAATTCCACCCTCATCATCAACTTCTTTAATTCTTCATCCACTCTTCTCCGCTCATGATCACACACACATATATATATATGCAGGAGGGAAGACACACCATGTGTTGCACAAAGTGGAAGAAGTGGACGAAGCAAGCTATGTATACAACTACAGCATAGTGGAAGCCGGCGATCTGCCGGAGACGGTGGAGAAGATCTCGGTGAACACGAAGCTGGTGGAGGGTCCGAACGGAGGAACCGTCGTGAAGATCTGTGTGAAGTACATCACGAAAGGCGACGCAGCGCCCAGCGATGAGGAGCTCAAGACCGGTAAGGGCAAGGGCGATGCTCTCTTCAAGGCCATCGAGGCTTACCTCTTGGCTCATCCTGAGTACAACTAATTAAGTGATTATTGATCACTTAATTATTATGCCTTCAATTTAATCGGCGCCTTAATTAAGGGTTTGTGTGTTGCTGCTTTGTGTCGGTTGGTTTGTGATCTGCGATCGAGGAGATATATATATATATCTATATATCTATATATGTTATGATGTGCTTTGTAATTTCATGAAAAAAGCTCGAGCTCTGTTTTGATCTGTGTTTGATATTAATAATAAGGCTATATCTACATCAACATCTGGAATCTGGAATACACACACACACACACACAGATTTGAATTATATCGTCAATATATATTCTAGGAAACTTTAGATATTATTATCATGAGTCGTCTATACTAATCGAGACCTTGAAATTCGAGACCATTTTTATTAATAGCAGCTTCATGAATAACTCAATGTCTTTGACTTTCTTTTTTGTTAGTTGTATATTTTAGAACTCGAATCTGAAAATTTAAAATAAGTTAATTTGGCCAGACCAACCAAACTAAGCAGTACCCTTTGATAATATATACTACACACACTTCAGATTGGTCGTTTCGGTTGTGTTTATCCGATCCAATTACACTACTAATTACTCATTTTGTTGAGAAAAACAGATGGACAACTTTCCCTTTCTTTGACTATAACGTTTCATCTTTTTTTTTTGAAAAAATTGATATTTACGTGATAAGACAGAATTATTTATGCATTCGTTGACAAGTTATAGATGTGCAGATGTGTTGGCTTTGAAAATAAACACAGCGAATTGACGACATTTTGAATTTACTAATTTAGAGTACATTAGCATGTATGGAACATATACAGTTGAGTAGAAGATCTATTGGTTCCTAGGATTATATATACTATCCACCACTTCAATTAAATAAAAGGGACTGTTTATAAAAGGGGGGACATTAAAGGAATATTTCTGGAATCAAATGGGATTTTCCACTCAATAAAAGTGACATTTAGAAAAGTCACACACACATATAATTTAACCCACCTTGGTATAAATAATTGGGTTAATTAATGAGCATCATGAACTCTAACCTATCGCTTAAATGTATCTTGAATCTTAAACTTTTAAAATGAGTAAAAAAAATTTCTCAAGTTGTAAATTTCAAACAAATTACCCTGTTATTAATTTACATATCACCACCGAGACTTTATAAAGATTGATATGATATTAATCTCCTTTTATACAAGGCATGCTAGTTAACCTATGTAACTATCAACGTTGTATAAATTAACAGTAGGAAATAATTTGCTTATAATTTATAAGTTGAAAAAAAATTTGTTCATTTTAAAAATTTTGAGCCTACGATGCTAAGGATGTTTATTAACTCTAAATAATTTGTAGTGGGTCTAGTTATTTAATTTAGTATTTAGTACTCCTTTTAAAATCTTGTATGTATTGCAAGTTGCAACCACCTGTACAAGTGGGGACGGCACATGATAATTACCGCTAAATTTTAGGTGTCGCCGTGCATGCCTTAATTAAGTTCATTATTTGATTTCACCCTGCAGATTAAAATGGATGGGGAATGTGCTAATCCGGTCCTAAATGTAAAACAAAATTTAAATTTTTTTTACCCCAAATAGAAGACAAAATTAATGTAATTAATACTTTCTTCCAAGTTTATCCCCTATATATTTATTATCATTTAAATTCCTAAACAATAATTTATTATATTCATTAATTATAAATAAGGATAAAATTAAAAATTTACATATTTTTTATAATTTTAAAATTATAACTAATATTTTTTAATAAATGTAAATTTTTTAAATTTCGTCTTATATTAAAAATGAGAGAAAATAGATATAAATTACAAAGTTTTTTAACGAGAGAGGGAGTGTGTGAGAGAGAGGGGGGGCGGAGAGAGGGAGAGGACGGGTGTGAGAGAGGCGCTGAGGGTGTCTCCATTTTTCATTTGGTGCATTTCCCTCCACTTCTCAAAACGGCATCGTCTAAGTGGGAGGAAAAAAGACAAAAGAAAGCCAAATAATGTGTTATTTTTATCTCCACCAGCGCGCTCGGAAACCTCTGTTTTTCTCACTCTTCCAGAACAGAAATGTTCTCACACAGCAAAAAGAAATTCTGACCAAGAAAATATTTCGATTAAGGAAGGATTTTGATTATAATTTGGTATGGTTCCATTTTTTTCCTATTTGTTGATCATTTCTATCCCTCATTTAAACTTAAAACTTGCTGAACGTGGTTGCCATTCTCTCTCTCTTTCTCCCTTACATTGGTCATTTTCCTCCCCTGTTTTTATGTTTAAATTAATTTTGAAACACATTACTAATTTGCCATGGACTTGTGCTGCACAGAAATTTTTTGATGACAGTCACAACTACAAGAAAGTAATGCTGACCATTTAACACGTTATTATCCCTTAGCTTTGCATAAATGAATGCATCACCAAGCTCTTAGGTTATTTTTAAATTCATTAATATTTTTTTGTTAACTCTCATGAATAACAGTGTTTATTTATTTTTTTATCTGCTTACTCTTGGTTTTAGTGTTTTTGTTTTTCAGCTTTTCTTGTTAGCTTTAAGTAATGGACACAAGTATGACTCTAATAGTTGGTCTTGAATTTGATGATCTAGAAGAGGCATGGCAATATTGGATTGACTATGGTGGAAGAATAGGATTCAGTGTTAGAAAGCAAAACTCTAATAAGAGCAAGAAGGATGATTCTATCATATATTGCAAATATGTTTGTTCCAAGGAGGGAGTGAAAAAAGCAGATAAAAGAGACTTTAAAACTAGAAGCCTCGAAAGGAAACAAGAACAGGGTGTGAAGTGAAAATGATAATTAAAAAGGTGAATGAAAGATTTAGAGTTAGTGAACTATTTTTGGACCATAATCACCCTTTAAAGCCCCCAGAGACTATTCATTTATTAGCATCACAAAGGAGATTACCGAAAGCACAAGGCTATGCTTTGGAGTTTGCTGAAGATACGGGGATTAAGCAAAAAGCCTCTTTTAATTTAATGAGCAAATATGCAGGAGGGAGGGCTAATTTGGGGTATACCAAAGAGGAGGTAAAGAGTTATCTAAGATCAAGGAGGCAACGAGACATGATCTATGGTGAAGCTGGGTTTTTACTTCGCTATTTTCAACAACAATTGACAGAAAATCCTTCATTTTTTCATGCTTATCAAATGGACTCAGAAGAGCAGATAACTAATGTGTTTTGGGCTGATGCACGTATGTTGATAGATTATGATTGTTTTGGGGATGTCATTTCATTTGATACAACATACTCTACAAATCGTGACAACAGACCACTTGCCATTTTCTCAGGTTTCAACCATTACAGAGAAGTAGTGATATTTGGTGCTGCTTTATTATATGATGAGACTATTGAGTCTTTTAAATGGCTTTTTGAAACCTTTTTACAAGCACATAAGCAAAAAATGCCATTTACTATGTTTACTGACTAAGATGCAGCAATGGCAAGAGCCTTAGAAGAAATAATGCCAAATGTAAAGCATGGCTTGTGCACATTCCACATCAATAGAAATGGGGTGAAACATCTTGGAAACTTAATGAAAGATGGCTCTCGTTTTCTGGGTGAGTTTAATTGGTGCATATATCATTGCAAGGAAGAAACAAGGTTTGAGGAATCTTAGAAAGAATTATTATCAAAATATAATGTAGAAGAAAATCCATGGTTGATGTCTATTTACAAGTTAAAAGAAAAATGGGCAGCATGTTACATGAAGTACTCAAAGACTCTTGGTATGAGAAGTACACAACTTAGTGAAAGTATCAATTCATTTATAAAAAGTTGCACTAATCCTGAATTGAATATTAGTCAATTCTTCAATGTCTTTGAACAAGTTGTTGTGGATAAGCGGTATAATGAATTGCAAAGTGACTTCAACTCACGCTAGAAGTTGCCAAGGTTGATATTGAAGAGTTCGTCTATGCTGCAACAGCTTTCTCAAGTTTACACACCACCAATTTTTGACTTGTTCCAGCATGAGTATGACTTACATGATGCTACGTGTATAAAAGAGAGGAAAGAAAGAAAAATAGCTGCAGATGATGATGCTCTTGTTATTGATTATGTAACCACAATGGTTGATAAAAAAGGAGAGTGGAGATTGACATTTGAGCCATCAAGAGAAGATAAAGAGGCTGTCATTACTTGTAATTGTAAGAAGTTTGAACAATGGGGAATATTATGCTGTCATGCATTGAGGATATTGTATGACCAAGATGTAAAGCTACTTCCAAAGCAATATGTGTTAAAGAGGTGGACAAAAGAAGCAAGGTGTGGTGTAGTGCATGATAGTAAGGGAAAGGAAATTGAAGTTGATCCTAAACTAGAATGCTCGAATCAATATAGGCAATTGTGCCCCATGCTCATAAAATTAGCTAGTGATGCATCTGAATGTTCAGAGGCATTCTCTATGGTTCATCAAGCAGTGCTAGAGCTTAGCAAGAAAGTGTCTCAACTTCTTATTAACCACTCATCAGATAGTGTTAATAATGAAGGAGGTGTTGATGATGATGTTGGTAAGAATGATGGTTCAGGCATTGGATTCAAGAAGAGAGAGCGCAAAAAGATTAGTCCAAGTTGGGTCAACAATCCAAGTCAAAAAAGAAAAAAAATTAAGACTTTAAAAAAATCTACTAACAAGTCTTCACAATGTTCAAAGGTATAATTATTTTACTTTGAATTTTTATTAGCATGATTTTTTTATGACATTTAACCAATATTGTTACAGGACACACAAAATATATTAGAAGTGGGTAGATCATCATCTTCGGTACAATATGACCCCCCTGTGTCAAATATGCTGGTGCAAGTGCAAAATGACCCCCCTGTGTCAAATATGCCGGTGCAAGTGCAATGTGGCCCCCCTGTGTCAAATATGCCGGTGCAAGTGCAATGTGGCCCCCCTGTGTCAAATATGCCGGTGCAAGTGCAATGTGGCCCCCCTGTGTCAAATATGCCGGTGCAAGTGCAATGTGGCCCCCCTGTGTCAAATATGCCGGTGCAAGTGCAATGTGGCCCCATTGTGTCAAATATACCGGTGCAAGTGCAAACTGGCCCCCTTGTGCCAAGTATGTCGGTGCAAGTGCAAAATGGCCCCCTCGTACCAAGTATGCCTGTGCAAATGCTATATGGTCCTCCCGTGTCAAGTATGCTAGTGCAAGGGCAATATGGCCCCACCGTGTCAAGGATGCCGGTATAAGGGCAATATGGCCCCACCGTGTCAAGGATGCCGGT